GGCTTTTTTCTTTTTGCTTATGTGGTGCTGAGGAATGGAACCCAGGGCCTCAGGCATGCAAGGCAAGCGCTCTACCACTGAGCCACCTTCCCAGCCCTAGAGAAACTACTTAAACTGAAGCTTAACCTGAATGAAAAGAAACCAAGAGCAGAGTAATTCATAAAGTATGCATATCTGCACAAGTTCCAAGGTAGGAACAAATCTGGTATATGCAAGAATGAGAAAGACAGCAGGATGGCTAAGGTACTATGTAGATGAGAGTAAGAAATATTCATTATACATGATGAAGGCAGAAATATACACAGAGACTAGATTACATAATGCTTTACAGGGGCTTGGAAGGTGGCTCAGTGGTAGAGTGCTTGCCTTGCATGCATGAGGCCCTGGGTTCAATTACTCAGCACCACATAAGCAGAAAAAGCCAGAAGTGATGGAGTGCTAGCCTTAAGCTGAAGAGCTGAGGGACGGCGCCCAGGCCCACAGTTCAGGCCCCATGACTGACTAATAAACAAACAAACAAAAAAAAAACATAATGCTTTACAGGGCTTGATAAGGGTTTGAATTTTTCATTCCAAGTATTAAGGGGCTAGAGGTGCACCTAAGTGATAAGAGTATTTGCCTAGCACCAGATCCTGAGTCCAATCCCCAGCACTGGGGAAAAAAAAGAAAAGTTGTAGATATATGCATATTTGCTGGCATGATGGCACATGCCTGGAATTCCAGCACACCAGAGGCTGAGGAAAGAAGATTTACAGTTCAAGGACAATCTGTTTTGTAGTGTGATAGTGATAGTGAGAACCTGTCTTAAAAAAAAATGGGAAGGGGCCCTAGGAATATGGCCTAGTGGTAAGAGTGCTTGCTAGCATGCACAAAGCCCTGAGTTCGATTCCTTAGTACCACATAAACAGAAAAAGCCAGAAGTGGCACTATAGCTCAAGTGATAGAGTACTAGCCTTGAGCAAAAGAAGCTCAGGGACAGTGCCCAGGTCCTGAGTTCAAGCCTCAGGATTGGCAAAAAAAAAAAAAGGAGAGATCTTAATAATCTGATTTACACTTATAAAATTCTAGCTTCTGAACAGAGAACAGACTTCTGAGACAAAAAATGGAAACAAGGAGATCAAGACATTGACATTACCTAGGAAAAAAATGATGACATCTTTAAGTAGGTAGCAAAGTACAAGTTATAAAAACCTGTAGCCAAGTGCCAGTGGCTCCTGCCTTGTAATCCTACCTACTCAGGAGGCTGACATCTAAGGACCATAGTTCAAAGCCAGCCGGGGCAAGAAAGACCATGAGACTCTTATCTCCAATTAATCTCAGAAAAAGCCAGAAGTGGAGCTGTAGCTCAAGTGATAAGAGTGCTAACCTTGAGCAAAAAGAAACAGAGACAGCACCCAGGCCCAGAATTCAAGCCCCAGGACCAGAAACAAAAAAAAACTGGAATAGTCTTGAGGTAGAACTCACCAAATTTTCTCCTAAAGTAGGAGGGAAAGAGTAGAATGAGTAATAAGAAATGATTCCTGTGATTTAGACTGTTTCTGTTTAAAACCACAGCATCTTTTGACATCATGTCACTCAATTGTTATTTTTCTAACAGAAGTTAGGTTGATACATAGCGAGACCAGTGCCTAGGACAGATAGGATATATCAGTTCTTATGTTAGAACCTTTTATACTTGATCAAACTTTTATATTTTGATCTTATATTAGCACCTCGCTATAACCTGAATGATTCTCCTGTCTTGGGGCTTGAACTCAGGGTCTGGGCACTGTCCCTGAGCTTCTTTTGCTCAAGGCTATCACTCTACCACTTGAGCCTCTTCCAGCTTTTTTTGTTTAAGTGGTACTAAGGCATCAAACCCAGGGCTTCATGCATGTGAGGCAAATACTTTATCACTAAGCCACATTCCCAATCCACACAAGTACTTTCATATAAATGAGCAAGAAATAAACTACATTTTTAATGGTATGCTATAATTAGTTTTCTATGTATTTTCATTACCATAAAGGATTCAAAACAGCACGGCAAGTGGTCCTACTGCACAGAACCGGCTCATACTGAATGGGTGGTAGGTCAGGTCTCTCCTTAAGAGGTGTAAACAAGGCTGCCACTGGAACAACCATTCTTGTAGCTTCCAGTCTACTTGATGGCCAAACATTCCAACTAAAGCGGACTCCATCTCGTTCTTCATTTTGTTGGATAAATTCCAAATAGGTCGTCATGATTGAGCTTGATGCTTATTTCTGAAACAAAATTAAATGACACTTGAAAATCTATGACCCTCTTATTCTTACCTTCCTACTTCTAGGGGTTCTAGTATGCTATCCCATATGCAGCAATATTAACATATTATAGATCATGACCAAAGGAAAACATCTATCTCAGAAAAGAATCAGCAAGCAATAACTCTATTTAGAAAAAGAAGTAAGTAGTTGGGCACTGGTGGCTCAAACCTGTAATCCTAGCCACTCAGGAGACTGAGATCTGAGGATCATGGTTCAAAGTCAGCCTGGAGAGGAAAGTCCATGAAACTCTTATCTCCAATGAACTACCAGAAAACCAGAAGAGATTCTGTGGCTCAAGTGGTAGAGTGCTCAAAAAAAAAAAAAAAAGTAATGTCGCTCCACACATTCATGCCTATTAGACCCAATACTGGGGATTTTTAACCTTTTTTATTCACTCTTCTAAAATCTATGGCAAAAACAGTGGTAATATTTATGTAAAGGTATATTAAAAAAGGGGCAAAAATTGGGTCTGGGAAGGTAGCTCAGTGGTAGAGTGCTTGCCTTGCATGCATGAGGCCCTGGGTTTGATTCCTCAGCACCACATAAGCAGAAAAAGCTGGAAGTGGGGCTGGGGCTCAAGGGGTAGAGCGCTAGTCTACAGCTGAAGAACTGAGGGACAGCAACCAGGCCCAGAGTTCAGGCCCCATGACCGACCAAAAAAAAAAAGAGGTAAAAATCGGGAAGGCAGACTTAGATCTATGCTTTCTATGTTGTTTGCAATATATTCTAGTAAAATAAACAAGTATCAAAATCAAAATGTTTTAACATTTTGGTTCCCTATCCCAAGAAATGACAAGCTCCACTAAACTTCAAAAGAAGAATGGTTGATAGAATGCAACAGAAAAAAATTGTTCCAGGGGCTAGGAAAGTGGCTCAGTGGTAGAGCACTTGCCTTGCATGCATGAGGCCCTGGGTTCGATTCCTCAACACCACATAAGCAAAAAGAAAAAAGCTGGAAGTGGCGCTGTGAGTCAAGTGGTAGAGTGCTAGCCTTGAGCTGAAGAGCTGAGGGACAGCACCCAGGCCCAGAGTTCAGGCCCCATGACCAGACCCAAAAAAAAAAACAAAGAATTGCTCCAGCTTTTTGTCAGTCACGAGACTTGAACTCTGGGCCTGGGCACTTTCCCTCAGCTCTTCAGCTAAAAGCTAGGACTCTACCACTTGAGCCACAGCACCATGTCCAGTTTTCCAGTGGTTTATTGGAGGTAAGAGTCTCACGGGGAAGCCGGGCACCGATGGCTCACGCCTGTAATCCTAGCTACTCAGGAGGCTGAGATCTGAGGATCACGGTTCAAAGCCAGCTCGGGCAGGAAAGTCCGTGGGACTCTTATCTCCAATAAACCACTAGAAAACCAGAAGTGGCGCTGTGGCTCAAGCAGTAGAGCACTTGCCTTGAGCTGAAGAGCGCAGGGACAGCGCCCAGGCACAGAGTTCAGGCCCCATGACCTGAAAAAAAAGAGTCTTACAGACTTTTCCTGCCCCAGCTGGCTTAGAACTGCAGTCCTCAGATCTCAGCCTCCTAAGTAACTAGGATTACAGGCAGGAGCCACTGGTGCCCAGCAAATTGCTCAATCTTAAAATTACAAAATCAAGTATAAAAATCCTTTTACAAACTAACTTTACATAAAAATGGCAATTACTTGACAAGTACAGGGTCTTCTAATATTAACATGTTTACATAAAAACATAAAACCAAACCAGCACTGCTGGTGGCTCTTGCCTGTAATCCTAGCTACTCAGGAGGCTGAGATTCGAGGATTGCAGTTTAAAGACATCCCCAGCAGAAAAACCCATGAGATTCTCCAATTAACTACCAGAAAACCTAGAGAGGGAGCAGTGGTTCAAGTGGTAGAATGCTAGCCTTGAGCAAAAAAGCTCAGGGACAGCACTTACGCCCCAAGTTTGAATCCCAAGACCAACACAAACACACACACACACACTTACTGTCATACTATGTTAGCGTGCAGACTTATCATGGTCATCTTACATAAAGTAACACAGAACACAAGCCCATCCTAAAGAAACATTCCACCTTTCAATATAACAATCTGTGAACTGTTTCAATTAACTTCTCCTGGCACATATCAGGTCACTCTAACCTAGTATATCAAAACATTTCCCCACAGTATTTAAAAGGCTTTCCTTAGGACTGAAGCCTGGGGTTGTTTTTCACTATTTTACTTTGGTCTTTTCATACATATCTAACGGAAAAAAAAAAAAACATAGAATTCTGGGTCAAATTTCATCTTCAATGAGATAAAGTGATGAGTAGCTGTAACAGGTTTGATTCATATCAAGTGAAAATGGACGGACCTCTAACTTGATTCCCCCTATACTATCAAAGAGAGAGAGGAAGAATTCACATGCCTTTATATTTAAATCTAAAACTTTGTGAGCAAGCTGGTGTTGCTAAGGCATCGGTGGTTTGGGGTGGGATGGTGAGGGAGGGGGGTTAAGGAGGTTGGTTTCCTCTGACTTCTGGAACACACTACAGGTGGAATGGGGGCCCAACAACAAAAGAAAAGAAAAAAAAAGAGTGGTCAGATCTGAACTCCACTAGTGATCAAGGGGTACCCTTCACCCGTTGGGGCTCCAGAGGCTGAATTGGGGGTGAAGTCACCAGGGTTCAAAGTCTAGGGCACTGATGACCGGGGAAGGAATGAGCCAACGCACCCAGGCACCAGGAGCTAGAGAGAGAGCAGGGTAGACAGGCGTGTGGCCCGGGAGGGTGAGGTGGGTGCGGGGCGCGGGGCCTGGGGGTGCGGGGAGGCCGGGGAGCCAGACCCGGTGGCTCCG